CCTGCCGACATGGCTCTCATGAGTCTGGGTCTAGAGGTACCTTAACATGGATGGATTTTGACAAACTTTATCTTGTTGGATAGCGGATGAATAGGCCAACATGCTGACAAATCGGCAAGGCGTCAGACTTGAAACTTTTGGAGTGAGCCCCAGATGTAGGTACATGATGCCCCCAGTTTCGTTTTTGTGCAGTAAGTCCCATAGCAAGGGCTGTCAGCGCCAGCCGACATGGCTCTCATGAGTCTGGGTCTAGAGGTACCTTAACATGGATGGATTTTGACAAACTTTATCTTGTTGGATAGCGGATGAATAGGCCAACATGCTGACAAATCGGCAAGGCGTCAGACTTGAAACTTTTGGAGTGAGCACCAGATGTAGGTACATGATGCCCCCAGTTTCGTTTTTGTGCAGTAAGTCCCATAGCAAGGGCTGTCAGCGCCAGCCGACATGGCTCTCATGAGTCTGGGTCTAGAGGTACCTTAACATGGATGGATTTTGACAAACTTTATCTTGTTGGATAGCGGATGAATAGGCCAACATGCTGACAAATCGGCAAGGCGTCAGACTTGAAACTTTTGGAGTGAGCCCCAGATGTAGGTACATGATGCCCCCAGTTTCGTTTTTGTGCAGTAAGTCCCATAGCAAGGGCTGTCAGCGCCAGCCGACATGGCTCTCATGAGTCTGGGTCTAGAGGTACCTTAACATGGATGGATTTTGACAAACTTTATCTTGTTGGATAGCGGATGAATAGGCCAACATGCTGACAAATCGGCAAGGCGTCAGACTTGAAACTTTTGGAGTGAGCCCCAGATGTATGTACATGATGCCCCCAGTTTCGTTTTTGTGCAGTAAGTCCTATAGCAAGGGCTGTCAGCGTCTACCGACATGGCTCTCATGAGTCTGGGTCTAGAGGTACCTTAACATGGATGGATTTTGACAAACTTTATCTTGTTGGATAGCGGATGAATAGGCCAACATGCTGACAAATCGGCAAGGCGTCAGACTTGAAACTTTTGGAGTGAGCCCCAGATGTAGGTACATGATGCCCCCAGTTTCGTTTTTGTGCAGTAAGTCCCATAGCAAGGGCTGTCAGCGCCTGCTGACATGGCTCTCATGAGTCTGGGTCTAGAGGTACCTTAACATGGATGGATTTTGACAAACTTTATCTTGTTGGATAGCGGATGAATAGGCCAACATGCTGACAAATCGGCAAGGCGTCAGACTTGAAACTTTTGGAGTGAGCCCCAGATGTAGGTACATGATGCCCCCAGTTTCGTTTTTGTGCAGTAAGTCCCATAGCAAGGGCTGTCAGCGCCAGCCGACATGGCTCTCATGAGTCTGGGTCTAGAGGTACCTTAACATGGATGGATTTTGACAAACTTTATCTTGTTGGATAGCGGATGAATAGGCCACCATGCTGACAAATCGGCAAGGCGTCAGACTTGAAACTTTTGGAGTGAGCCCCAGATGTAGGTACATGATGCCCCCAGTTTCGTTTTTGTGCAGTAAGTCCCATAGCAAGGGCTGTCAGCGCCTGCCGACATGGCTCTCATGAGTCTGGGTCTAGAGGTACCTTAACATGGATGGATTTTGACAAACTTTATCTTGTTGGATAGCGGATGAATAGGCCAACATGCTGACAAATCGGCAAGGCGTCAGACTTGAAACTTTTGGAGTGAGCCCCAGATGTAGGTACATGATGCCCCCAGTTTCGTTTTTGTACAGTAAGTCCCATAGCAAGGGCTGTCAGCGCCTGCTGACATGGCTCTCATGAGTCTGGGTCTAGAGGTACCTTAACATGGATGGATTTTGACAAACTTTATCTTGTTGGATAGCGGATGAATAGGCCAACATGCTGACAAATTGGCAAGGCGTCAGACTTGAAACTTTTGGAGTGAGCCCCAGATGTAGGTACATGATGCCCCCAGTTTCGTTTTTGTGCTGTAAGTCCCATAGCAAGGGCTGTCAGCGCCTGCCGACATGGCTCTCATGAGTCTGGGTCTAGAGGTACCTTAACATGGATGGATTTTGACAAACTTTATCTTGTTGGATAGCGGATGAATAGGCCAACATGCTGACAAATCGGCAAGGCGTCAGACTTGAAACTTTTGGAGTGAGCCCCAGATGTAGGTACATGATGCCCCCAGTTTCGTTTTTGTGCAGTAAGTCCCATAGCAAGGGCTGTCAGCGCCAGCCGACATGGCTCTCATGAGTCTGGGTCTAGAGGTACCTTAACATGCATGGATTTTGACAAACTTTATCTTGTTGGATAGCGGATGAATAGGCCAACATGCTGACAAATCGGCAAGGCGTCAGACTTGAAACTTTTGGAGTGAGCCCCAGATGTAGGTACATGATGCCCCCAGTTTCGTTTTTGTGCAGTAAGTCCCATAGCAAGGGCTGTCAGCGCCAGCCGACATGGCTCTCATGAGTCTGGGTCTAGAGGTACCTTAACATGGATGGATTTTGACAAACTTTATCTTGTTGGATAGCGGATGAATAGGCCAACATGCTGACAAATCGGCTAGGCGTCAGACTTGAAACTTTTGGAGTGAGCCCCAGATGTAGGTACATGATGCCCCCAGTTTCGTTTTTGTGCAGTAAGTCCCATAGCAAGGGCTGTCAGCGCCTGCCGACATGGCTCTCATGAGTCTGGGTCTAGAGGTACCTTAACATGGATGGATTTTGACAAACTTTATCTTGTTGGATAGCAGATGAATAGGCCGACATGCTGACAAATCGGCAAGGCGTCAGACTCTAAACTTTTGGAGTGAGCCCCAGATGTAGGTACATGATGCCCCCAGTTTCGTTTTTGTGCAGTAAGTCCCATAGCAAGGGCTGTGAGCGCCTGCCGACATGGCTCTCATGAGTCTGGGTCTAGAGGTACCTTAACATGGATGGATTTTGACAAACTTTATCTTGTTGGATAGCGGATGAATAGGCCGACATGCTCACAAATCGGCAAGGCGTCAGACTTGAAACTTTTGGAGTGAGCCCCAGATGTAGGTACATGATGCCCCCAGTTTCGTTTTTGTGCAGTAAGTCCCATAGCAAGGGCTGTCAGCGCCTGCCGACATGGCTCTCATGAGTCTGGGTCTAGAGGTACCTTAACATGGATGGATTTTGACAAACTTTATCTTGTTGGATAGCGGATGAATAGGCCAACATGCTGACAAATCGGCAAGGCGTCAGACTTGAAACTTTTGGAGTGAGCCCCAGATGTAGGTACATGATGCCCCCAGTTTCGTTTTTGTGCAGTAAGTCCCATAGCAAGGGCTGTCAGCGCCAGCCGACATGGCTCTCATGAGTCTGGGTCTAGAGGTACCTTAACATGGATGGATTTTGACAAACTTTATCTTGTTGGATAGCGGATGAATAGGCCAACATGCTGACAAATCGGCAAGGCGTCAGACTTGAAACTTTTGGAGTGAGCACCAGATGTAGGTACATGATGCCCCCAGTTTCGTTTTTGTGCAGTAAGTCCCATAGCAAGGGCTGTCAGCGCCTGCCGACATGGCTCTCATGAGTCTGGGTCTAGAGGTACCTTAACATGGATGGATTTTGACAAACTTTATCTTGTTGGATAGCGGATGAATAGGCCGACATGCTGACAAATCGGCAAGGCGTCAGACTTGAAACTTTTGGAGTGAGCCCCAGATGTAGGTACATGATGCCCCCAGTTTCGTTTTTGTGCAGTAAGTCCCATAGCAAGGGCTGTCAGCGCCTGCCGACATGGCTCTCATGAGTCTGGGTCTAGAGGTACCTTAACATGGGTGCGCTCAGCAGGTATTACTTTGTACACGAAGTTAGCGCTCTAGTAATTTAATATAGCTTCAATGTTTTTTTTATATGTCTATGATATGGAGATCAATGAGGTTTTATTGTGGACCTTTCTTTTGTCTTTTATCTGTAAACATTGGTGCCATTTTATATGGGCAGCCGCTAGCGCATAAATTGAAGCTGTTGTTGGCAATTTATTTTTCAAAAAATGTCCCCATCGTCCTCAATAATGCAAAGTAAAAAGGCATGTTTAGAATTTTGTTGTAACTTTGTTGACAAATGTTGTATTTCCAACCATCAAACAATATTTTGCTTATCTGTAATAGGTCTCCTCTTCGTTTTTGCGGTGTTCGACCTTCCATAGTTTTGCAACCCGTGGTTGGCAAAAATGCAGTTTGCCAAACGTCTATATATGGTAGCAGACCAGTAAATAAACTTCCATAGACCCCAATGGTAAATGCTCCCACTTCAAAAATTCGGGAAAAATACTCACAACTCTCCAAGGTGTTCGAGCCATACAACAAATTATAGCTTGTTTCATCATCTTTCATTTTCTTTTCAATTTTCTGGGGGTCAACTCATGACTTTTAGGAGAAATGTCCATCTAAAGATGATCACCCCTCAAAATAGTCCTGAAGCCAATCGCCATTTTGAAAAACGATGCCTACACTCCATTGCAAAATAGAGCGCTTTTAGGGTCCAAATTACATCAAAATTACACAGAACTGCAAGCTCTCAGTTCTGTGCACGGCTTCCACCCATATTTTTTACAATCCCTTAAGTTCATGGCCCACAGCATGCTCAAATACCGAAGATTTTGAGGGCATGCAAATCGTGATTTGGCCGGCGCAGGCAATTTAGGACCGATTTACTGGTCTGCACCCATATGTGCACTGAAGTTGTTGGCCGGAGAAATAACATACCGCCCTCTGTTGAACATATTGTGTGCAATCACAAAAGTAGTTCCACACCTGGAGACGCGCAAACAATTCATATCTATCCACTATTTGCATAATTAATTGCAACGAAATTTAAATCAGATCCATATCTCCTCAATTTCATTAATTTCAATAACAAGTTTCAAATAAACACCAGTGAAATCTCTTAAATGACAAAAATGCTCAAATTTGTCGTACTTTTCTTAAAAATAGGATGTTTGGCAGCACTTTTTAACCATGTGGTGGATGCGCACACCTGTTTGTGTTGTCGTGAAGAGGCCTTGACTACGAGGATAATCGACCACCGAGCGTGGCTAATAATTGTTTAGGGCGAATCGTACTGCGTGTGCTAAGAAGTGGAACGGGCTTAGTCGTCTGCGGTTGGGTACCATAGAGATTTGTGCACACAGTCTTACTCGTGCACTTTAAGTCGGAAAAAGTTGATGCATTTTCAGCCTAATTTTAGACTGCAGAAGTGAATTAACCACCAGAATGTCTTCCCAGGACGTGATTAAGAGCACAGCCAAGAAATTGTAAGTGTTGCTTACTTTTTCACGATTCTTCATACTGTCATACACGTCATACGTTCATGTTCGTGTACTGTATTGTAACATGTGTAATGTTATTGTCAACAAATCCGAAGCAGGTCCCCAGCCAGCACACTGACGTCGGCCCGACGTCGTGTTCAGTCGGGGATCAGTCGGCAAAGTCGGTAAATGGTCGCGGTCGGCCAAAAGCAGTCGCACGGAAGTCGTACCAACGTCCCTGAAACGGACGTTGGGCTCTTACCGTCTTGCCGACGTTGGTGGGAATGCAGTTCATCGACATGCCAAAAAGAAAACGGTCAGCCGACGTCGGCTGTCGTTCTTCTGGCCGACGTCATATTATTCAGATTCCCGCCGACGTCGGCGGGATGATTTATAGCCAACACGTTCAATCAATTACGTCGGACTGTAGTCCCGGCACAGTCTAGGCTACAGCCAACGTCGGGTTGTTACCGTTTTGCGTTTTGACGTTGGTGGGAAAACGGCTAACGAGTTGCAAATGCGACGGCTGTTTCCTGTACCATGCATTTATCGTCTGGGGGCCTATGAAACAGTAGTTATGCACACTAAAAATCAAGTCACGCAACCCAAGATTTATCGACTTGTACATACAACGGACAAGATGGCAAACGGTCGAGTTGGCAAATGGTCGAGTTGACTCCAAAGAGAGGTTCAGTTGGTCAACGGACGAGTTGGTTCAACGGTCAGGTTGGTACGACGGTCGAGTTGTTTCGAGTCGAGTTGGCAAACGGTCAAGGTTGACTGTAATCCGTTTATTTTCAGTGAAAGAAATACTGTAAACATCCAAAATATTAAATTTTTATGCTGTAGCTGTTGTTAGTGTTATGTCAGTCGATAAAAGTCCAAAAATTTGAAATGTTTTTTATGCGGTTTTTTTTCTGGCAATGCTGCTACACTACAGTTGAAAATGGACCACTAAGCGCTGGTTCTAATTTTGCCGAAAATTTCGAAATTTTCAAAAGGCCAAATTTCCAGCCAAAGAGTGATTTCTTGTCAAAACCTCATATATTTCAAAACTTCGTGGTGTGCACTGGAGCGTATAAATTGTACAACAATAGGCCGTGCACAACGTCCCACACAAGAGGTCCTACTAAAATGCGTCAACAACCGTCAACAAGCGTCAACAAATTTTGTATACAAAATGCACCAGGGATTAGATGTTACCCGGAGGCAAGTTGAGGCCATCTTGTTGCTTAACCCGTCAGCCGTGCCTGTGCACAAAAAACAGCCAGTGCGTGCTATCACGGCCTCCGGCGCAAACTGGTTAACACTGACTGGCTTGACTTGAAATACAAAAACAACAAAACAAAATTCAGAGGGCCTAGCAGGATCTATCTGAAAGGGGAAATGACATTGAAGTGAATTAGGAGAAAAAAGTTTTCACGCCATCTGCAAGGTCTTAATTTGGCAGGGCAGTGTATTAGTTTTGACAGCTTTTCATAATTATTCTTCACGTACCTCAGTCCAGAGTTCCTGTTTTTATCCATTTTCATTGCTGCTTTTAGATGTCCACTATTGTCCACTTGGCCTTGACTTTTGTGAATCACAAACGATGTGTCGACAAGCAGCACTTTTCTTATGAATGATGTTGTCATGAAGGTGTTGTTTTATGCTGCAAAGAACATCTGTCCTGTCCTGCCTGGCCTTGCGGTGTTTTCCGATGGCGTTATATTTCTCATGTGCACAAGGTCAACCTCTTGTTTCCACAAATACCGAGCGAAAAACTTGAGCAGATTAAGTTTCCACCTGAACATCACTACTTGTAAACATGATGCAAAGAGATCTTACCCCAGGTATTGGGTATATTGATGCCACAGAGTTTTGAACGTTTTAGTCATCACAAGTCCATCAAAAATCAATCACAACTCATCAAGTCCCAAGTGATCTGCGTTTCCGTTGTATAGGCCGGTCTCTGGTCAGACCAAAGGTCATGCAGCTTTTTTTTTTTTTTCAAGCTTGGATTGTACAGACAAGATGGGGTACTATTTTGCTTTTTTGGGTGTCCTCATGTACATTGGTGTCCTCCATAATTTGCCTTGGTGCTTTCGATCATTTGCCTTGGTGCAATTTCCCATTCCTTGGTGCTCTTTGGTAAAAAAAAATTGAGGAGGTGCGGAAATAGAGGGCGCTGTGGAGCTACCGCGGAATATTTTGGGGAAAAAAAGATTAACGCGCATTATTTTTTTGGCCAAATGTGAGGATTGTGAAAGTTCAACCAGTAAAAAGGTGCTGACTCCAGATTTCATAGGAGTCTAAATTTCATGTGACACTGGAAAAGTGTTTAAGACCAGCCAGCCATGTCTTTATCAACCGTTTAAAATCGGCCACATGACAGGCTCTAGACCAATGGGAATGGGTAAACTGTCTTAAGTATTTACGTGTATGAATACTTATATTCAAATAAACCACAATGGGAATTTTCAACTAAACCCCAAATGAAAACGGATTGGGTGCTTTATAATAATAATTTTAATCTTGAACAAAGAAATTGACTGGAGCGGGGCTTGAACCTGCGACCTCCGGATTGCCATTCCCATGCTCTACCAACTGAGCAATCCAGCCCTATGTTGGTGGTTCCCATTATATGTCAAAAACTACTGGGCACATCTTGCTCAAATTCCAACTGATCAGTACAGAAAGTCCTTAGCAATCCAGCCATATATTTTTTTTGGGCCAAAAACAGTGATAATGTGTACAAAATTGTGCAATTTATGACAAATACTACTCAAAAAAAGTTGCACTTTTGTATACCTGCAAGGTGAGTGTCAACCACAACTTGCATGTATTCAAACGTGCAACTTTTTTCGGTATTATTTGTCATAAATTGCATAAATTTGTACACATTATCACTGTTTTTGGACAATAAAGAGTATGGCTGGATTGCTAAGGAATTTATGTACTGATTAGTCGTTATTTGAGCGGGAGGTGCTCCTTAGTTTTTGAGTTAGACAAAAAAGTATTGGAGGGGGGGGGGCTTTCTTTTTTGGTTGAGTGTAATATACAATTTAAGAAGACAATAAAGTGAAAATGAGTTTTAGAAACAGATATTGTTTTTATTCTTAAACCCTTGATGAATTCGAAAATATTTCACTTTTTTTTTCAAACGGATACATGTTTTGGAAACAATTATTTTAAAATGTAAACTGAGAAATAAGTAAAATAATCTGCATCTCATCATATTTATGCAATAAATTCTGACCAGGGACGCAAATTGCGCCTGTGTTACTATAGAAACCCTTCCTTTTGAGTTAGTAGTGGCATTTTCTCCGGTTCAGTTGTAATTGAAGCGTGCTTCACTACAACAGCAAATCAATCAAAGTCGAGTTCCCACCAAACAAATTGAAAAGCCTGTATAAATTGCACTTGAACGTACTTCATGGCAATATGTCGTGCATGGAGAAAAATGTCACATCTGCTCCATTCACATGTTGAAAGCTTTGGTCTAGGCCTACAGGTATTTTTTTTTTTATGTGGTACTGAAAGCAAAATGTACCTGTGATTTTCTAAAACGGATAATTGTGTAGCCCCTTACTTGTATGTGTTTCAAGAGTACTTTACATGCTAAAAGCACATTGCTTCAATCCCTCGGTATGTTTAAACACTGAGCTGGAAGAGTTAATTTCCAAAACATTTATCGGTTTGTAAAAAGTGCCAGGATTATTTTGCTGAAAATTTTGATTTTTTCGAAAAAGGCAAGATACTCACCATTACTTTTTTATATGACCAAACGCCACAAATACTGATTCGCAAGAGTCATTTCAACAGTATTTGTACACTATTTGTTAATGCAAACTCATATTTTTCAACACTCCAGGGTGGGCCCTGGAGGCTATTTAAAAACAAAATATTCCCAAATAAATACTCGAATGCCAAGAAAATCTTCAAATAAACAGTTGAACTCTTCAAAATATTTGTGGTATGACAATGTTTAAATGCAATGTTTTCAGTGCAATATTAAAAACAATTTTTCTTACACAATACTGTTCAAACTGTGTACATGTACAGTATGTACATACTATTTTCCATATTGAGTTAAACATAAATCATACAAATCTTTGGCTCGGCTTTGGAAAAAAAACTAAAACGGAATTTTTACCACTATTTAGTAGTATTTTTGTAATGAAAAACATATCTTTTTCAAATACAGTATTTGGTTTTGCCTTTCGCCAACATATTTGAACACTATGAACACTGTAAGTCTGTATACTCAGTGTTGTCCCAAGTGATTACGAAAAAAAAAATTATAATTTACATCAGTGCAAATTAGATCTTACTTTTTCAAATACAAACTAAATTTTTCCATGGAAAATTGTAATGACGTAACTTGTCTGTCCTTGCCTACTTTTTCCAGGCATTTCTTGTTTTTGTACTTCTGTCTGTATTTTGTCTGTTGATGTCAAATAAGTAAACAATTCAATACAAAAACAGGTACTGATGGAAAGTATTAAATACGTACTGAATATTTTTGGATGCAGGAAATACTACATGGAGGTCAAACGAATGGAGGATGCGTTTGATTTGTCCGGACCCGATAAACCCCAACGGCACTATCCAACACTCAAACCGGTAAGTAATATTTTGTCATAATTCATTAATGATGCGCATTTATCAGGAAGAACAAATTGTTTGGAGGTCGAATCTCTTTCAATTTTGAAGAACGCTTTCAGAGACTGATGCTTGGTTGCCACGGTAACTCTATCCACCTTTTTTTCTATAAAGATGTTTTGTCATGAAGCTTAACAGAAATGACAGCGTGGGTTTTTCCTTAATGCGATTTGGGTATTGTTCCTACTCCACCCACATGCATTAGTAGAGTTGTGTATCATGTTGATTTTGGATCGTAGGCAAATTTAAATACTCAATTTTTCAGTGCAGCTATTGGCCTTGCAATTTTTTTTTTTCTGGATAAATTTTGACTGTTTTTCTGTAAAAAAAAGAAGATTTGCTAACTGTGGACAAATTGACAATGGTTTGCCAATTCACGTCAGTGTTTAATATTTGGAGTGCTGTGGTTTTCCTTCATTTCTGGAGTTTTTGCAACCATAAGGGCAGAGATAGTTGTTTGGAACAGCCGTTTGCACCCAAAATGGCAGCATTCTAAGTTGTATACTTCCGAGAGACTGATGTGGTCGAAGGAATATTTTATAGGCCCGATGATGAGGGGCAACATTAATTCGATCATCAAAACAACTTTGATCTTCTCTACAAATCACAGTATAAATACCCATAGTATAATCTTTCCTGAAGCTGAGATGGTTGAAAAAGTATTTTATAGGCCCGATGATGTAGAGGGTTAACAATAATCTAAATCAATTTTGATCTTTGTTAACAAATTAATGCCAAAATGCCTGTAATTTATTAATATTTCCTGTTTCTATGGATTTTATCATCAACAGCGGCCCACCCTGTTGTATGATGGACTGCACGACAGAGCGCTGAAGCACTATTTTCGAAACGCCGAGGTTAAAAAACACCTGGCGCAGATGAAGCCAAGGACAAGCCAGTCGGAACGGGAATCAAAAGTCAGGTGGGACTGGTTTTTTATTTTTTTATTTTTTTTTTATCTCCTATTTATACAAAATGAATGAGTACAATTGAAGATCGTAATCGAGCCTCATATTGTATAAAGCCCCTCACAGCTCACAACAAAGTAGCAACACTTAACTCTTTGAAGTTTGAAGTGAGTTTTCCCTTAGATTGTCCAAATTTAGTGGTTTGGAGAGGTACATACCATTGGTTACGGTGTTCAACTCGTGTGGCGTGGTACATGGGTTCGAATCCTGACGGGGAACATGGTGCTTGTGCGCTTGGGCAAGGCACTTTAGTACGATTGCCTCTCTCCACCCAGGTGTAGTAAATGGGTACCTGGTAGGAAGAAATTCCTTCAATGCTTGAGCACCGTAATGGCAGCCGTGCTGAAGCCAGGGTAATATTGGACTGCCAGGAGCGTTACTTCGTGACAGACATGAGCATTATACAAGAATTAGCCAATGTTATTATTATTAAAACATAGCTAGAGGCGTGTTTAAAAAAAACATGAAGTAAATCTGTTGAACAAAATCGTTGGAAATATATAATTTTTTCACTTGTTTTGACTTTTTATTACAAATGTATTTATGAATGGGAATAAGTATGTGCTTGGCTGGTATTAAGCAAGTACGTTTAAAACTGGCTAGGGCCTGGGCTAAGCATAATCCGCATCCAGGCCCCAAGCCGGTTTTAAATGTACTTGTTTAAAATCGGCTAAGCACATATTTATTCCTTTATTCATAAGTTATTTCACTGAGCAGAGATCCCTGTTGCTCAAATTTCATTTGAGTATTGGTCATACAATTTGTAATTTAATCCACTAGTTTCTAATATGATTCTAAATTTTTTTTTTTTTTATTTTTTTTTGTAGGAGAGATGTCGACCGCTACATGGATAAATCCCATTTCACAGTGAGTTAAAGAAACAAATCCAGTTTCTTAAGCTTTTTAAAACATTCTAAAATGTAAAGTACAAACTTTATAAAAAGAGAAAGATTTGTTCAGCAGTAATTTGTGTTAACTCTTCAGCAGTAATTTGTGTTAACTCAAACAGACTTTCATCAAGTGTTTATTGTGGTTTTATTTTATTTTTATTTTTTTGCAGAGCCCTTACACCAATCTTGTCAGAGCAACGCCACCCCCAAAGAAAAGGTAATATTTTACTGATTTTTTTGATTGGTTGTTTGCAAGTATTTCATTTCTTGAAGAAAAAAACCCTGGATTTTATGCTCATTTTTGTAGTGACAGAACACATATTTAGAAAGTTGACCAGGATCAAAGGTAATATACAAAACTCACTTTTGCTGTACTTTTCAAAAATGGATGGATTTGAGGAATAATATTTTATAGCAAATATTGTTGTACTGACCTGTTTAAAGTTTTGTGTTCAAAGATGCTAGATAAACCAAGGAAAATCTGCTGTTCTTGTAGTTTTGTTCCCTGACCCTGCTTCAGACAAAAACGAAACAATTTATAGACATTGGAGAATTGTCAGGTCAGGGAACCATACTAGCTGGCTTGCACCCGTTCAGGGATGTGTAACCGATTGCAAACAAACTGTGAACTAACCAAATTAGGTAAATTGGGGTCAGTAAAAAAAAAAAAATTCAAAGTTGGAAATTGATACAAAAAATCCACTTTTCCTTGAAAATGACAGCACACCAAGTGCCATGATTTCACGGGATGCTTGAGACTATTATTAACTTACAGTCAAGTAAAGCATTTCATAATAATTTGGTAGTTTTGTTTTTTGATGTTTGCAAATATGTTGTATATTAAGCCAAAAAAAAAATAAGTCGGTCTCTGGTCAGCGCGCGCGTTGATTTTAATCATGCGCGTCAACCTTTTTTTTTCTTCAAATTGTCCGCGGTAGCTACAGCAGCGCCCTCTATTGCCGCATCTCCTCAAATGTTTGTACCAAGGAATGGGGAAATTGCACCAAGGCAAATGATGGAGGGCACCAAGGCAAATTATGGTGGTCCCCAATGTATATGAGGACACAACAAAAGCAAAATAGTACCCACCTTGTCTGTACAATCCAAGCTTCAAAAAAAAAAAATGCATCGCCGCATCAATTCCAGAACTTTGGTCTGACCAGAGACTGAATATTTTTTTTTTTGGCCTTACCTTTAATTTTTGTTTTAATATTCATCATTATCTTGACAGGAGAAGCAATTTCCGAGGAGGCCCTCTATTGCTGAGATCTCGCCATGGTCCGCAGCTGTCCAGAGGAGAGACGGAGAGATTGGTCAACGCGGCTACCAAACTTTTAGTTGCTACGGTAAGTTATAGACCTTATGCATACCAATGTCAAGGCCGTAAACTTGTGGGCCCTACTCACACATACTGGAATCTGTATCCTTGTGGAGTCATTTCAATTCATGTGTACTAAAGTTTTCGAGTTTGAAAGTCTACTTTGAAAATGCTCCTATTTTAAACATAACTAATTTCCTGGGCTGAAATTTGGACGTAATATCCCTTACAATAAAATACTTCCATTTGTGACAAATCAACACGCCTTGGAAATTCCTAGTTTTTGAGTAAAGTTCATATATCTATTTCGTGATAACCTTGTGGAGACGTATTCACCTATAAAAATTGCGCTGTGGAGACGTATTCAATCTTTTGTTCCCTATTGTGCACATGTCTCCACAGGGTACCGTGTACCAGATCACACGTATGCTTATGAAAAGGTGATCCTCAACCCATGTATTCAAAAACTCACATTCTAGAAACATTTCAGAACTTGTCATGTGTGACTGTAGCTGGCGAGAAGGGATACATAAAAACCAAAAAAATCTTGTCATCTTGCCCATTCTATAAAATTTCAAATATTTAAAAAAAAGTCCTAGATCACTCTCTGTTTAAAAGAAAAAACCTTTCAGATTCAGACAACATTCGTTGCTTTTCTTAAATCTTCTGCTTGATTTCGTTTTTGTTTAGGAAACTATTCCAATAGACCAGCAAAGGAATGGACGGCGACATTCAGGAAAGGTATGGTTAGAATTGCAGACATTTATATTAAACATAAAAATTGCAATCGCTTTACAGGCCCAGCTAACTATACCGTAAAATTCCAGTTAACGATTTCAGCTGATAGCAAGGATTTTCAGCTTGTGCGCATCTCCATTAACTGTAAAGATTCTTTGTTGTGGCATGGGTGGCACTGTGTGTAAAGCGCTCGCCTCTCAACGCTGTGGCCCAGGTTTCATTTCCCAGCTCAGGTCATATTTGAGTAGAGTTATTCATTGTTTCTTCTACTGGGCCACAAGGGTTTTTCTCTGGGTACTCCAGTTTTCCTCCATCCTCAAAAATCAACACTTTATTTTTAGCTGTGCTCTGTGGGAAGGCATGGATCATATGGCAGCAGCCTAAGGCACCTTTACATGCCTTTAGCTTGACCACTTTGTAGCTGCATCCTTTGCTGCGAGTAAGGACGATACCTCCCCCCCCCCCCAACCTCCCAAGTTTGTTTCTGTTTGTTTATTTATTGTCCATCCCCTGGTATTGTGACTTGGACTATAATTGACTTATGATCACCTTGGGACTGGACTTGTGATCCATCCCAAGCCGTTGCGACCAGTCACAAGTTATCTTCAATGAAACCTATGTGACTGACTTAGAGTCTATTGACTAAATTTGTACATTTTTTCCCCCAGAATTTCAGAGTGGACAGCGGAGTAGGGTCCAGCCTCCCCATGATCGACAACGGCTACGAGGATTACGGCCACCGGCCGTCGCGGCCCGAGAGGCCCAAGTCTACCTACGGCCATCGCCCGACCCGCCCAAAGTCATCATACGGAGAACGCCCTCGGCCCAAATCAGCGATGGAGGCACGGCCCAAATCGGCTGCAAAGAGTTCTCCCAGCACGGCGCGCTACGGTTACGACTCAATGGGCAGAAAAATTAAACTTCATTTAGAGGTAAAAGTGCAAGTCAAAAGTTTGCGAAGATTTCCTGAAATTGTAATTGTAAATCGTTGGCTTGTTCTTTGTTAATTTGGTCATCATTCATTTGGCAATCTCTAGTTAACTGTTTGCTGTCCTAAATTCTCCTGGTTAGAGCTCCATGGGTTGATTCATGCAACGGCAGTATTGTAACAATGTTTGTCGTGTTTGATTTCTTTATAGCAACCGAGACATTACGAGGCCTCGGAGTCGGACCAAGACCCAGACGACTACGATGACGATGAGTTTGAGGGTTCCATGGACAACAGCATGAACATCCTGGTTCCCGTCAAGGGCTCGGGCAAGAACCAATCTCCGGAATGGCTCAAGTAAGAAATCATATTCATATCCAATCAAATCCTGCCTTCATTTCATTTGCCAATAGAATTTATGAGTAGCCTCTTGTTGCTGATCTGTTTTATGGCTAATAATTCAAGCTATGGTGTGTCCTCGGGCAAGCCACTTTACCCGCACTGGATCTCTTTGTTACCATTCTTGTGGTCTTGACTACAACACTAAGGAAGAATACGTGTACATCACGCAAGCCATCACTAGGTGTCAGGTCCGTTATTTTGATAGTTAAACTGCAGACCTTGATGAAGGATCTGACTCTGCATTTAATTTTGTAAACATTAACCCTAACCCACCTCACTCCTCCAAAATCCTCCTGGCGGTTTTGGAGGATTCTAGAGGATTGAGGATGAATGGTGATTGAATCAAATGAGGATTCTGGAGGATTGAGGATGAATGGTGATTGAAGCACATGAGGATTTTGGAGGATTGAGGATGAATGGTGATTGAAGCACAAGAGGATTTTGGAGGATTGAGGATGAATGCATTTTGAGGCAGGACTGTCTGATGATTTTGAAGGATTTGGCGTTGGTTATCCTTCATTTAAACACGAGTGCAAAGTTTTGGGATGAGGATTTTGGAGGATTGAGGATGCATGCATTTTGAGGCAGGACTGTCTGACAATTTTGAAAATTGAGGCGGAGTTGCAAAATTTTGGAGGATTGAGGATGGTTGTAAGCAACAAGGGCCTAGGGGGTTAGGGTTAAGCAAATATCTTAAGAAATTAAAACAAAATTATCTGATTGCAGCATTCAGATGTCCAAGGTGGACATGAACAACCACAATGACTACGAAGTCGACGATGAAGAAGAAGAAGAAGAGGAGGACGAGCGAGGCGATACCGTCAGCCAGGGGGATGACATCCTGCACAGCATCGACAACACCACCCAGACGGGCAGAGAGATGAGCTGTCAAACGGTGGAGGATAAAGACAACACGAAGGACACGCAGACGCGCAGAGCCAACACGGAGGAGAGCATGACCGACCCTTACCAGGTATGGATGTGGGGGTTCTCATGCATGTACAATTTTTTGGGGCGGTATTCATTCAAGATTATTAGTTGCCTGTTGTGTGTGGCATAGTAATCTGTTTGTTTGGCCAGTTACAGACAGTCAAACAATCAATTGTGTTCCCTTGCCATGCCTTTTACACAGGCTAGTCACCAACCGTCGCATCATATTTTTCTGTAGGCACTGTGACCAGGCCCAGATTATCCAATGGGCACGTCACAGTGCCTAAGACTTACGAAAAAATTTGAGGGCCCATGAAAATACCGCAATGTGCCATAAAACACATACACCCACACCAACACATTTATCTTTGTAAGCCCAGCAATCGTGGACCCCGTGTTGTCCCTAATCCTCATTCCTTTGTTTGTAATTTTTAGCAACCGCTCTCTCATTGGTTTGTACACGAATTTCAATCGTGGACTATCAGTCAATCGTGGACCCTTTGTGACCTAACCCTTTTGTCCCTAGTCCACAATTGCCAGCGTTTACGTACTCCCAAGCACATACAAGAAAAGTTTTAGCCTCTCTCTAGCTATCAGTCTCCTACAATCAAAGCATAGCTACATCAGGTTTCATACCAATCACAGCCAGTCAATCCTGCTTTCTGAAGGCAGGGAGCACTCAACTGTCAAAAACAGTCACTAGATTTATTTTGACTGCTGGGCTGGCCTTCTTGGAATTGCCAGCTAGATAGGGAAGGGTCAGGACCATTAGAAATGAACGGCGTATGAGGTACTCTTTCGTTGCAGCACCATGAGTGCCTATCTTTAGGTGGATATGGACTTAATAGAAATACTCATTATTATATTTAAACATTTGAAAAAAAATATTCAAAATTCATAAATTTTCCCAAATGTTTAAAAATGAGCCCTCCTTATGAATATTCATTTAATCTGCCTCCCAGTGCTGGAATCAAAAATATCTTCAAACCTAAAAAACCTACTTTATTAGTAAACGGTAAACCTCGCATCGGGCCTGGAAGTTACACTAAACATTCAACCAATTACAACGAGATTTTTTCGTTCCTACTTACCAGGCCGACATGGCAATCCAGACAGCCCCGCCCCCCATCACATTAGGCACCCAGACCGTGGTCCCCCCGCCAGAGGTCTCCACCCAGACGGTCCCTCCTCAGCCCACTATCAGCACCCAGACCTACCCGGAGGTGTACTGCCAGACCACGCCCATCATGAACATGGAGACGCAGACGGAGGTCCATCAGCCGGAGGTGGCTTGTCAAGTGGAGCCGCCAAATGAGATGGGTGTACAGGTATGTTAATTCCGTCCTCACAAAAATGTCAACATGGTTAATCTTCTCCTCGCCAAGTGTTCTTTCAGCAAAACGAAAACAATTCACATAGGGATGTGTTTGAACTGTTATCATTTTGCCGAAAGAACACCACCTTTTTTTGTGATTTGTGGGCAGCACTTTAAAATGGTGGTTGTGTTTAAAATTCTGTAACTTGAAAAGTGTGTGAATGACTTGGATGATTCTTGTACTAAAAGAAAGCTTATTAATTGGGCTTTCATACCTAGATTTTGAAAGTGCCACATGCAGAACTTAATTAATAAAATGGTCCGGCCATTTGGGTTTCCTTTTTTTTTTTACTCGCCCTGTAGAAGTTTGTCCCAAAGAAATCTTCAGGGTTCCCACAATCGTGGACAATCTTAAGAAAATCCTGGACTTCCAAGCTATATCATTGAAAGCAATGGACAAATCATGGAAAAATCATGAAGTCATGGAAGATTGAGTTTCCAAGGAACAAATCATGGAAAAACCAGTGGAATCCTGCTCTGTACTTGTTGCTTGTTCAGTGCACCATTGTAACACTTTTGCCGTGCTCAGTGATCTTGTGTCAAACAGGAACACTGAATGTGAGTGTCGTCCCTCATTGCCTCAGTGTGATGACTTTCCTGCAGTGTGTTGTAAATAGGCTCCTATTGAAGTAATTGGCAATTGAAGTAAAGTGTCTTGCCCAAGAACACAAACACCATGTTCCCTGTCAGGGTTCCACCTGAGTCGGATATTAAGTAACCTTTGGATTGTGGGGCTCCATAAATCAAAATCAGATGTGATTTTATACCATCTTTGTTTTTTTTTCCTAATCTAGGTCGACCCTCCACCCCCACCCCCGTCCCCGCCCCCTCCTCCGGAGCCCGAACCCGAACCAGAGGAAGACTATGAGTTCCTGAAGCATGGTCCCCGACTCAAGTCCGGCAAGCGGACCATCTACGAGCTGTCCATCCACACGGGGAACCGGCTGGGGGCGAGTACCAGGGCCGACGTCCATGTCACGCTCTACGGAGAGAAAGGCAACACGGGGAAGATTAAGCTCAAGCAGTCGAAGGACACAAAGGATGGCAAAAAGGTCAAGTTCCAGAAGGGTCAGGTGAGGTCAAAGGTCAACTTTCTTTGATTTTTTAACAGACCGGCCATTAGCAACATAATTTTTGATAAGCTCCTTATCTCGGTTTTCAGAGCTTGCATGAACAAAAACTTGTGAATTTCCTGTGACTTTATTCTTTCAAGCTCTCGGTCACGAATGGGTTATTCAGTTCTTATAAAAAACAAAAGACCAAAAGATTCCAATTTAATTTTAATTTTAGGTTTTGCCATTCACCAATGAATATTCTGCTGAATATGTTGATTAAATTTTATTTCATGTCTCTGAACATTCTAAGAAATGTTTTAAGACTTAAGGATATGTTTTTTTTTTCCCAAAAAAGTAAAACCAGACATATTTGCTGGCTGACTTCAAGCTCTATGATCTAGGGCCTACATACTTTTTCTTAAATAATAAGATTGTTTTTCTTTTAAATCAAAACTTCACTGGTCACCAGATTTGAGGTTTATGATCAATTTACAAAGCTTTTTTTTCTATAATAAATTTCTGTGTACAGATCGATGTCTTCAAAGTGGAGTCTTATTATGTCGGCAAAATAGAGTGCATCTGCATTGGCCATGACAAAACAGAACTTGGTAAGTTGTTGGCTATAATTTCATTTTTGAGGCAACCTACTCCTAAATAAAGATACACAGATTGTTATTTATAACTATAGCTTAAATGTCACATCTCTTAAATGTCATATAGCACCATTGTTCCTTCCACCAAACACTCAACTACTGTCTTTCTTGCTCTTTCAGGTTGCGGGTGGTTCCTCGACAAAGTCTTGATCCGTGAGTACGGAGACGACGTCACCTATGAGTTTCTGTGCGAGCGATGGCTGTCGGCCCAGGATGAGGACGGACAGACGGTTAGGACAATACCAGTGACCAATATCATCATGGGTGAGTAGAGCCGTCAGCAGATTTGGTACTTTTTGGCCCTTTAATGACCAAACTTGTAATCGTTCATGAAATGCTCATGTCAGCAAGCATCTAGATGTGACAGCTCTCTCAAGCCATGCAAGACGTGATAATAACATCTCTCCTCCCCTAAAAAGAGTTTCATAACTATTTGATTTGATTTTTTTTTAATTTTAGGGTTTTGTGAGTGTCACTGGGTGATTACGTCATGAAAAGTGTTAATAATGAAAAAAAAAAATTCAAAAAAAGTAATCATCTTGGACCACACTTTGAATGACTCTGTGAGCATTTCAGATTTCAATTGACACATTTAATAAGAGTTTAATAATAATAATTTGGGAGGCTAGTCATCCTTACTGGCAGCTGAGAAGCTGAATTGCGAAGGATGCGACTACAACCTGATTGAGCCGCTGGCATGTAAAGGTGCCTCTGGCAGCCAGCCACATCGACCAATATGACCACGGAGCACAGCCTAAGATAAAAAGTGTTTGATTTTTCCCGAGGGGGGAAAACCGGAGGGCCCGGAAAAAAACCCTTGTGGCACAGGAGAGAACCAACACACAACTGTACTTGCGTATGGTCCGAACCAGGAATCGGACCAGGGCCACAGTGGTGAGAGGCAAGCGTCTTACGCACAAGCCTCCCATGCCACCCTTAATAAGCTAAAACTTTTTTCTTTTTTTTTAAACCAGATGTGTCTTCCAGTTCCCAGTCGGAAGCCGACCACAGTGACTATGCAGAGAAGAGCCCCGACAGCAGCACCTACACGGACACCGACCTGCGCCTGCACCAGGTGACGGCCTCAGACGGTCACTTCGTCCCTACCGGTCCCCAACCCCGGAGACCCCCTAGCCGTCACACTGACCGCTCTGATCACTCGGACGCCAGTTCCCGTGTCAGGAGAAAGCACAAGCGAAAGAAGAGCAGCAAGAAGGGGAAAGGCAAAGGGAAGTCCCGTAGGAAGCCCCGGACACCGGTGACAACGACGGGTACCGACGACACAGACTCTGACACGGAATCGGATTCCGAGCGGTCTTCCCGGAGTGATTCCGATAGTGGCGATGACGACAATGGCAGTGATAGCGGAAGTGGCTCCAGTGGATCAGGAAGCTCTTCCGGAAGTGGAAGTGGATCCGGAAGCAGCTCGGGAAGCGACAGCTCGTCCGACGATCGCAAGGCCGACGGGGAGAGCAAAAGCGGCTCCATCGGAAGCGGGCGGTACAGGGATCGTAGCGGCAAAGCGCCAAAGGAGGAAAACACTGTGCATTTCCCGAATGAGGACACTGATGCTGCGCCATCTGAAAAGGATAACAGGACAGCACGTGATGTTGACAGTAGTCATGAAGAAGATGGTGATGATAGATCGTCGCGCGGAAGTGTCTCCCAATCAGACAGTGTATCCAAGAAATCTGTGACAAGTGAAAAGACTGAAACAAAAGATGTGCCAAAACCAAAGGGACCGAGTGACGAGGGTTCAACCAAACCAGAAGACAAGGATAATTCAGATTACATGACTGGCTTCAAGGTAATGTTTCATTGTAGTGTTCACTGAACATTTTTCACATCGTAAAATTTCTAAACATGCAAACACAAGACAAGGAGTTGTGTCCGAAAATTGTACTGTAAGTTTATTGATGTACATACATGTACATCATGCGTGCTGCCCAGATTGTGAACACAAATTTTTTCGGCCTATTTTCAATTTTTTTTTTTCGTAGGCCAGTTTCATCTCTGCTTTGATAATTACAAGCTTTTCCCTATCTAACCCTGACACTTTTCCCCATCTCATCAGGCTGCGCTGAAGATGAAAGAGCATCAGCATGAGCAAGAGGAGGCGGCCAGGCTAGCCGATGAGGAGAAGCAGAGACAGGAGGAGGAATCCTTACTGGACGGACCATCCGTCCACCAGTGCTGCAAGAAGGGGGATCTCGACAGGGTCAGAAAGCTGGTACAGCACAATGCTGAACTCATTAAGTAAGTCCTTGTCAATGTCAACTCTAACAATGGACCAGCGGCCAATTTCACGAAACGGTTCTGTTCAAACAAATTTGTTGTGCAGCTGCGCGATAAACTTGCGATAGATTTCACAAAACTTGGCTTAGCTGCGCAATGTTTTGAATTTAATCTTAAACATCTTTGACGAGGGTAATAACAGCATTTTCGACTGATGTTTGTGTACAATTTTTGTTTGGTCACATTTTTGTCAGGCAAGGACTTGGCTGGTGTGGTATTGGATTGTGATAGTCCATGGTTTACCGCGGGGAAGACATAATTTTCAACAATAAATATGGGGATGGGATTTCTCCCCTGCCTGCCCCCATTTCTTCTTCTGATGCAACATTTCAATTTTGGATAGCGGCACAGTGTCCGTAAACCCTAAGATTCTGTGATTTTTTTTTCGCAATAAATAAAATCAGACTGATCATGTGTATAGCAATCTGATAAAAGGCTTGGGGAAGCAAATTTGAGTGTTTTTTTATTTGCACTGTTTTGCTTCATTTGAAAATATTAACGCCTAACAATTTAATTTATCAGTTCCTCATTCATGGAGTTAATTTTTCATTCCCCCTCCCTCCCCCCCCCCCCCCCCCCACCCACCACAGCACACCGGACGAGAGAGGCTGGACGCCCCTCCACATCGCCTCGGCCAACGGCCGGCTAGCCCTTGTCAAGTACCTGGCAGCCAATGACGTCAACATCAACGACCTAACGCCGACTGGCTACACAGCAATGCACATGGCTGCAATGAACGGACACGTGGCCGTGGTCAAGGTGCTAACCGCTATGGGGATGACTGTAGACTGCCGCACAGTGGACGAGCAGACGCCGCTACACATGGCTGCTATGAGGTAGGTTTGGGGAGTTTCGAAACCTTTCCAGGTAATTAGCAGCAGACCTTTGGCCCAGGTCTGGTCTAAAATGACTAAGAGTTGGCAAAAACAGACTGGGCCAGGGCTGGCATGCCAAAGCTAGCTAATGCTATTCCACAGCTAGCTAGCCCAAGTCCAGCTTTTACCTGCCCTCGACCAGGCCAATTATCCTGGTCTGGGGTCGAGCCAGAGCTGGCAAACAGGTGGTTGCAAAATATGTTAAGTATGATTTTTAAAAAACTAGGGTTTGAAATTCCTTCGAAAGTTGGCGGTAGATATCGGGATTGTTGGCACATTTTGCTGCCACCAGAATTGCACAGCGTGATTTTCCTGAACAACTTCTGCTGAGCGTGTGATCTTGATGGTTGGTTAACACAGCTGTCTATCCGTACACAGTAAATTCATTTGTAATCATTCAAAAGTAATCATTGAACCAGGTGTCAAATTCCTCACCTGTTTCAAAATGACATTCGTTGTACCCCATATTACACGAGTCTTTCAACTTTGAAGTTTAGAGTAGTGCCAGCATTGGCACAGCATTAAGAGCTGGCTACAGCTAGCTTGAGATACCCACTTTTAGTGGATGGTGCGGATGACGTTAGGCCCAAAAAAAAAGTCTCCGGTTTCTGGTATGGAGCTTGCCCAAAAAGTGGTGCGGCGACGCGGCTTTTTTTTTTTTTTTCACCTGATTTTTTTGCTTTAAATGTCGGCTGATGACTGCAAATGGTGCCCGACTAAACTTAGTGCAAATATATGGGAGTCCAGAGAGGCCACATAAAGCTTATTCTCGACCATAACCCAATCTAAAAACACGTTAAAATTGTGCAGCAGCAGGATTCCAGTCAAACCAGTGAGTTTGGCGGTTTGAGACATCATCTTTCATTGAAAAAAAAACTTTTTCATTTTGCCGACGCGCATGGCTACGGCATGGCCTTAGGTTTTCTCAACTTCAATTTTAAACAAGTGATTATGATGTGGAAATTTATGGCACGTACACATTTAGTTATTACTGAAGTATAATTGTTTGCTTGATTTTTCTTATTCCAGTGGTCATCTTGAATGCACCAAGTGGTTAGTGGCCAATAACGCGCCCCTGGACGTCATCGACAACATGGGGCGCACGGCGTACGACCTGGCGGAGGAGTACCAGCACAACGAGGTCGTGACCTTCCTGACATCATGTCAACGGGAACTGAAAAGACAGGACAGCTCCCTGGCCATGCTAAGAAGCAGGTGAGAGTGTTGCAAACTTGCGATAAATTTTCTAATTTTTTTAAAGGCCTGGTTAAAGGCATGGGATCATTTGCATCTATCCCTAAAGTAACCTAGCGAATTATTTTCAAAAAGCTTACTTGGATTGAAGAGCGTACTGGTACAGAACACCCCGTGAAATTATTCCGTCTGGCTTGCTGTCATTTAGAAGAAATCAAGAAATGTAGGTGACTTCCAACAGTCTGTCAGTTGACTGACTTTTGGAATAAAAAGTTTTAATTCACGGAATAGTGTTTTGTGATCAAAAGGTTGTGCATGTGTTTTCACTTTTTTCTCGAAAAAGTGTAGTATCCACTGAGCTGAAACTTCAACAGGAAAAGTTTTGTAAGGTTTTTCTTTGGATTTTGAGTAGTGTTATTTATTGGAAACAAACAAAATGCATGAACAGCAAATGATCCTATGATCCTGTCAAGTTAATTTGTATTGAGAGGACTGATAATGATACTGTGAAACACCTTCCAAGAGTTTCTGTGCTTCTTTCAAACTCTATCAATGGCGGCAGAAAATCTTTGAAAATGGTAAATGAGCAAAGGGAAAAAAAACTGGGAAGGGGGGGTGGGGTGGGTGAGATGCCCCCTTGTCCCCCCCCCCCCCCCCCCCCCCTTCTACTGGTTATGAACTTGTTACAAATAAGCTGAATAATTGCCCTAAATGTAGTTTGAATGAAAGTGTGGCAGCTTTTGGCGATCATCAGCTAAATAAAAAAAAACCTTAAAATGAACTCCAGCTTCAAGCAGTTCCAAGCATGTTGATAACTTTTCAAATACGAACATCATAACAAAATTATCAACCGATTTGTACTAGGGCTCGAAACCTAACACAAAGTTAACTTAGACTGAAGTTGTAAATACAAAAAAAAATAAGAAAAAATATACATTTTGGAAAAGTCCTCTAAAGATATAGACAAACCAACCTCCCAACCAAAAAAAACTCCTCTAATTTGTGGTGTCCACAGATCCCCCAGCATGGGTTCTCAGAATCGGCGTTCCCTCTCGGCCTCAGATAGCGAGAAAGACACGGACAAGGTACGCCTACACCTTGTTGAATTCAAAGGGTGAAATTAGACCCCCAAAAGCCCGGAAGTAGTTCTCCTTTTTCTGAGACTGTGCTGACTGAGTATTGAGTAGGGCTGTGAGTGTTCTAACACTGTACTGACAAAATGTTAATATGCATACACCTACAAAAAAGACTCCCTAGCATGATTTATTAGGAACCATACCTATCCTGGCATATTCCAGTACCATATGGGAAACTGTACACACATATTTCTGACTGAGTTTCTGGAGGTGTGCCAACCCAATGTAAAAGACAGTCAGTTTAGGGGTACTGTACCCATCCTGACAGATTCCACCAAAAGATGTCGTTGAGGTTTGATGGGTTGAGTTCTGTTAGGGTTAATGTTGTCCAAGTCTGCTTGTGCACACATTCTTGGACATTTTCAGAACTCTCTCTGTCAAATGCTCAATTTTCTACCCTAATTTTACCATAAGCTGTCGCGTTCCTTCCGGTTAAATTTCTTCTTTATAGTTCAGTATTCAGCATGGACTCAGAAAAAGATTCAACTACAATACCAGAAATTAAAAACAAAGAAAAGTGCCTAAACAAAATCGATTGTGAGCCATCACATGGAAAACTTCAAATTCCTGCACTGTCTCAGAATTCAGTAATGGAACAAAATATATAGCTGACTTTTGTTTTTTGAACAAAAATGGTCGGACAGTGTTAGATGTCTGGCCATAATTTCACCCTTTGAGAACCCACTAACAGGCGTCCAACTACATATACCATCCTTTCATTAGTAAGCTACTAGCTTTTCCCCTCCATAATTCATTAATCCACCTTTAGTTTCCGTTCGTTCATTCCATTGTAGTGCAGAAATGTGAATCTTTAGTTTTTAGGCTTGCTTGAAGTGCATGTTACAAAACCTCTGACTGCTTCTTTTCTACAGCGGAAGTTTTAATGTCTGTTGTAATGGTGTGGTTCAACATAATTTGCTTGCTAACAAAAAAAAAAGATGATCTCCACAGCGTATCAAATAACTTGTCGTGACACAGCACGTTATTGTGCGCGATTGATGTGAAAAATATCATTGCTCTATACACAAACAATTTCCAAGCTAAAAAATTATAATTCGCCACGACAAAAGGAGTCTTAAAGAGCTCCTTCAAGAACACAGTCCCCCTTAAAGGGAATATACAACATTTGCAATCATCGAAAAATAAAACTACCAAGTTTTTTACGAAATACCTTACTAGGATGTTGGTAAATGACAGTCTAAAGCATCCTGTAAAATTATGGCACCTGGTGTCAAGTCGTTTTCAAGAGAATGGTATTTTTATATACATTTCCAACGGTGGTCAGCCGACCACCGTTGGAAAAACCTAACTATTTTTCAACTACTGCTCCAAATTTACAATTTTTTTCCGTCCAAATTTTGTTTGCTATCATTGGTTCCATGTTCATGAACGGGTGCAGGCCAGCTAGACTGATTCCCTTACCTTACAATTTTCCGACATCTATAAATTGATCCATTTTATCTTTAGTGGAGTCAGGGAACCAGACTACTTAAACATTTTTGCTTTTTCTTGGTTTTTCAAGCATTTTCGAACACAAAACTTCAAACCTGTCAGTTAAACAATATTTGATCTATTATACTAACGCCTCAAATAGTTCATTTCTGAAAATTACAGCAAAAGCCAATGATGTACATTCCCTTTAAAAATACATCACATTAAAAATAAACATGTTGTCAACATTTCACTCACATAATGGCCGTATTGTATCAAATCAGTACCGCACGCAGCATCTAGAATTTAACAGGTTCGCAAACAGTTTCGTTACATTTGGTTTTTTTTTTATTCAAGTGAAGTGAATGGGTTCTGAAATGTATCATGCATGCGTGTTTCATGGTCGGCAACTTGTGATTCTTTGAATTCTGCATTATCATTGATGTGTTTTTTATTTTCCATTTGTGTATGGTCCATGGTATCATGTCCACGGAATTCATTGTTTTGAAGAGTTCAAAGTTTACAGGCAATTTAGATTAAAAAACACACCCATTTCCACTTAAAATTGCTTATTTTTGGATCTTTATTTTCTTTTATTAAAAGCCTAAAAAAAATATGTGTTTATGGTAACTCAATCCACCTGGCTTTTTTAGGCTTAGTTGCCAGCCTTAAACTTTCTATTGCCACATTTGGCAAACAACTTTAAAATACAGTATGTTTTGAAAATATATAAAGTCTTCCCTAGACGCATTTTTGTGTGTGTTTTATTGGTTAATTATGCAGTTAAACAAGTTAATTCTACAGAATGCTGATATAAAGGAAGCATAAAAGACTAACAGAGAAACATAAAAAATGTTATATTTTCCTTCCTACCTACCTGAATAATGTTTAGGGCATTTTACCGTAAACACCCAACTTTTTTGGCCTAATCTTTAAACTCAATATTGCACATGCTAATGTTTTGCTAAGTATTATTTAAACATTCTAGATTAAGGTGATATATCTAACTCTAATAACTTTATAACATGCACCCTTTCATGAAGTAGCATAACATGAAAAAACACACATTGTTTGGACATTTTTCAATCGCCACAGCATATTCATCCTAGGGAAACATTATTGTTTTTAAGGCTCCATGATATGTTTATATGCGGATGGCTTTTTGGGGGATATAAGAATATATTGCACGAGCTGTAACAATATTTTTCGACTCGTGCAATATTGTTATAGCAAGTGCAATATACTCTTGTATCCCCCGCAAAAAAAAGCCATCCAATGTTGTTATTATTTTTATATCAGGCTGACTTGATCCGCAAGAAATAAATTTCAGGACACTAAAATGATAAGGCATTTTTTCCATATGAATTTTATCTTCCAGGACGGCCAACAAGCATCTGATGAAGAAGACAAGCTGGACAGTGTTGCAGCAAAACACAAAGAAGAACAGAAACATGCAGTCCTGGTGAGTAAACTTCTTTTTTTATTGCTTTACGCTCATGATGGCCCCAGTAATGGCAGACACATACATGTATTAACTCCATGGCGGTTTTACTTCCCCCATTACTGGCCATTTTCAAACTAGAAAGTATAAACAAATATAAACTGAATGTCACAGTTGCCATGGCATTTTCATTAATGGCTAATATGAAAACCAATTTTTTAAACATATAAAAGAATAAAACCAGTAAATTTCAGCAGTGAAATTTGTCAGAAATTTTCCTGATTTCAGGATTTTGTTTCAGGATTTTTGTTTTTTACAAGATTTCAGGATTTCTCAAAAAATCCCTCTTGAAATATGGAATTCCAACAGGTTTTACAATAAAAGGCGCTTTTACCAATAAAAGTTTTATAGAACCAAAAAACATGGTTTTAAAAAGGGGTTTAAGCATTTAGTCAAATACAACATTGTAGATCCTATTTTGCTCTGGGCCCTCAGACTTTTTCGTGGATTTTTACATTTTCACTAATCTCACCAGCGACTTTTGAATGGATTTGAAACCTTAGAGGAATCTTGTCCCTGAGGCCAAAAAAAAAAATAAGTGGGTCTCTGGTCAGCGCGCGCTTCGATTTTAATCATGCGCGTCGATCTTTTTTTTTTTTCCAAAATGTTCCGCGGTAGCTCCAACAGCGCCCTCTGCACCTCCTCAATTTTACCAAAGAGCACCAAGGAATGGGAAATTGCACCAAGGCAAATGATCGAAAGCACCAAGACAAATTATGGAGGACACCAATGAACATGAGGACACCAAAAAAGCAAAATAGTACCCCACCTTGTCTGTACAATCCAAGCTTGAAGAAAAAAGAAGAAAAAAGCACCCAAAAAAAAAAAAAGCCGCGTGGCCGCGTGAATTCCGGAACTTTGGTCTGACCAGAGACCAAATTTTTTTTTTTTGACCTTATCTCAAAAATAAACACATATAACTTCACTTTCAGGGTTGGCTTATCATAGAGCAAATTCAGTCATTAATTTCTGCCTTTTTTGGACAATTTTCAGGAGAGGAAGAAATCCTTCAAGGACCAACAGGAGCGCATGAACAGCTCTGGGAAGAGTTTCCTGGACAGCATCCGGGCCGAGTATTCGGATGACGAAGCGCAGCAATAGGGCTGATTGAACCAGCTCCCCCCAAAAAATTCCAGATTTTATTCAAACTTCCAAGAGGCTGAAAAAAGGGTATTAAGTAAATTTAATCGCTTAAGCCTATTTTGTTTTAAATAAATAATGTTTAATTTACTTTTCATCAATCAGGTTCATTGTTATTGACTGCAAATGTTCTCAGTTTATTTGTTTCTATGTATCTTTACTTCCTTGGTTCATTGTACAGATAGGGCCTTTTTTATCATAGTTTCGAAAATCTACAAATTTTCATTTTAGAATTCAGCAGTTTTGTATGAAATAGGTAAAACAAAACTGCTTTTCTGTCTGAAATACTTTTCTCTGTCAAAAAAACATTCCACTGAATCTGATTTTAAGACCGATTTTAAGTAATTGTCATCTTTGCTTTTTTTTTAAAGGCTCAAATTTGGTTTATTTTAGAATAAATATAATTTTAATACTTGAGATAGCAAGAAAAGTGAAACGATTTCTATGCATTGCACAAAATCATAGTGTGATCTTAGCTTAAAGGACTGAAAACATCATGGGAATTGTTTTTTATTGTAGTTGAATATCGGAAGTTGAAGTAGAATATTTTGGATATAATAAAGGATGTTAATTCCAGAAGTAAGGTGATTTTTATTTTAAGATTTTAAAATACGCCATCATACAAGATATGAACTGCATCTTTGCAAGATTTTACTCAAGATAAAGTCAACTTGATCATGCTATAGGACCTAGCTGTGTTAAAGGGAATATACATCATTTGCTTTTGCTGTAATTTTCATAAATGGATGGAATTGGGGGGTTGGAAATATATAGCAAATATAGTTACACTGACTTTTTTGAGGTTTTGTGTTTGAAAATGCTATAAAAACCAAGAAAAACGATCATTTTCCTGTAGTCTGGTTCCCTGACTCCATATAAGAAGAAACAGAGCCTTTAACATACATTGGGGAATTGTAAGGTCAGGGAACCAGTCTAGCTGGCTCGTACCCGTTCATAGGTTTGTAATCGATTGCAAACAAGTGTGATGGTCAATTGGGGCCAGTATTTGAAAAAAAGCCAGTTGTTTCCAACGCTGATCGGCCGATCAGCGTTGGAAATTGATACAAAAATACCACTTTTCTTGAAAATGACAGTATACCAGGTGCCATGATTTTACAGGATGCTTTACACTGTCATTCACTAACAGTCCAGCAAGGTATTTCAAAATGATTTGGTAGTTTTATTTTTTGATGTTTGCAAATGTTGTATTTTCCCTTTAATTTAGTGGTACTTTTTTAGAATTGCAACTTGTTTAGACATTAAATTTTTAGTGATATTCTGTGTAATGAGAATAGCTGCATTTAAATCCATTATGTCTTTTAATCACAACTGTTTCATGTATGAGTTTGATTGAAACATGCAACAGCTACATATAGTTTATGTATATTTGTGGATAGATATTCATTTTTGACTCCGTCCAAATTTAGGCACGTGTAGTTGGTATTTAAAGTATGGTTAGCACAAATTTGTTGTGAAACGCAGTATTTTCCCATTTTGTAATTTTGAAAGTATCAGTTATTTCAAATTAAAAAAAAAATCCTATGCATTGATTTAGTTGTTCAGCTAATTAAGGTTGTACATGTATATATTTGTGTGTGTTCAGAAAAGAAAGCATTTGATTTAACTCAGTCCTCCAAACTTTGATGTATATTTCTTGAATGTAACATACTCCATAGTCTTTCGCTGTGTGTGAATTTTCTAAATAAAGAAAAAATATTGATGCTAAAACCCTGTTTACATTCCACTGAAGCTTAATTTTCTGTGTACAATGTATGTGGTTTACATAGGAAATTATTTGTTGCATAGTTCACGTAGCTGGGGGTATCATATCAATTGCCCCCCCCCCCAACACTTTTTCTGTCCCCAAATAAGAATTGGCCTGTATTTGGTGGATTCATTTACCATTACTGCAGAGCATAACAAAAATAATTGACTACATTTTTGTAAGCATTTCCTTTTAGCTCGTGCCGAAAACTTACCTATCCACTTTTGACAAAGCATGGAAGAATTATAGAAGACGAAAGAGATATTCCAACAATATTTAAACTACGTCCTACATGCCCAATTTCTTCTCTCCAAAAGAAGGGATGGGAAGGAAAATACATGGTTCCCAATCTATATTATGAAACTTTGAAGAGAGAAAGATTATTACCTTTGCCAGGAGGTTATGTTTTCATTGGATTTGGTGGTTGGTTGGTTGGTTGTCTGTTAACACAAAAACTCAAAAAGTAATATGAACGGATTTGCATGAATTTTTTTGGAGGGGTGGTCTAAATTTGCTACAAGGGTACAAATTGATTTGATTTCAGAAGTGATCCGGATATGGGTCTGGATCCAGGATTTTGTTTAAGGATTCTTCACCATTTATGCAAGTATTTCTTTTGGGTGTACTGACAATATGCCGGGAATTGGTTAGCCTTGGCGGAGGTTTGCACGGCTTTCTAGTTTGAAAACGAATTAAATTTGGAAAGCTCTCTCGTTTTTTAAGTATATATCAACAAGTTAAACTTTACTTTGATCAGAAAGTTATTTCCAAACAAGCAAGAACACTTTTAGACTGTGAAATTACGAGTAGAGTGTTAAGCAATTTATAAGCAACCCCACCCCCTTTCTGTCCACCCACGCACGCCCCCTTTTGACACTAAGTGCACGTTGAAAAAGAAAAATCTATACAAACAACAATGGATGCCTACGTAAATGCCCGTAGGTGTTTCATAGGAGACCGTGTGTACGTGTGTGGTGAATGCGTACGCACCACTACGCGTTAAATTTGTTGCACATTGAATGACGATTCCGAATGGCGATAACATCCCGTCAGAACAGGCTTCGTCGTCCAACCCTCTTTATCCGTGTTTACCGACTGATTTTGCGGGCTAAAGGTGATGGACATAAGGTCTATGTTCGGGGGCCGTTCGACCGAAGGCTACACGGGTGGCCATGTGCACGGTAAGTCCCGAAAAAAATAGAGAGGAAAAAGAAAAACCGGTCCCGAAAAGAGAGGAGGGACTTACATTAAAAATGTCGCCTCCTCCAGCTGTCGTCGACTACGACTCCACGAGATTGACGCATGCGAAGATGCAAACAATGACTTGCTGTTGTTTTCTCCTATTGCATTTGCATTGTTTTGCTGTCAGGCTGTATCTAGAGTGACAATGCGTCTGGGAAAGAATGTTGCAACCTGACGCCACTTTTTTCTTCAGATTATCAATCATCTCAATGAACTTGAAGGTCAGTTATCATGGTCATTGCGAAAATGATGATAAGACATGAGTATGTATGGGACTGAGAAACATTTTCAATTTGTTAGGAAACACTTAGAGAGGGTGCATGCTCTCTCGCTCAGTTTCCTACTTAAGCTTGTTCAGGCATTGCTATTTTCTATGGAGTGGCGTATCTATAAAGTATAATCTACAAAAATAATTGTAGGTTTAAAAAAGTTAAAGAACTTTAATTAAAAATAAACGGACTAAATTTGTTTTGAGTATCCCCAATCTATGGCCTGGACTAAACTATGGGGCTCTTGTTTAATAGTATATCGACTAGAGCCCCATAGTTCTAGGGGTAAACTAAACTCTGTTGTTACTGAATTTTTTTTATTTTTTTTTGCCTTTTTTTCCCATCGCAATTGTTCAGCTAGCATGGCTAGTCTGAGTATCACCCGTTGTCCACAGATCCTTATCTTCGATCCAACATCTGATCTAAGAATGCAAATTTATGCGACCCTGCAAGTCGGAGTCGACTTTACTAAATCGTGACGTCATTTTATTCCCAGATTTGGTCGAAGATTGTGATTGGTCGATTCAGATCAGTGTTTTTAAAATACAACAAAGGCCGGGCATGCATCATAGATCTACAATACCTAGAGTACTTACTAGATGACCATGATTGGCCAGTTCTAATATGGCTTGGCGTATCACGTTACATGTCGTTACAAAGCGTGTGACCACAGACTTTTTTGCTCAATTCACAGCATAAAAAAAATAATCGATGCCATGTCTAGGTTTTATAGATCCATGACTGAATGGTCAGAATGTCAAGGTCAAGACAGTTGTTTTGCATAATTATTTGCCAAATCAGGTCACATAATGTACCTAATGTGACCTGATACTCCGCATATGATTGAATATTACTCAAGCATTCACTTTTTTTCACAAAAACTACAGAAATTACAAATTTGCCTCTTTTAAATTTTGTAATTTTCATCCCGAATTGTATCGTAGAACTGAAATTTTAAGAGGACGTAAATTTCCTCAAAAAGAGAAATGGGGGAGTTGTATTTTTGTGTGAAAAAAAACAAAGGTTGCTTGGGTATTATAACTATTAATTAAAGTTAACCAGTTTGCAAAACATCAGGCCGAATGATTCTGATAAAGAAACATGTGTCCGTGTCTGATTTTAATTTGTCTATAAAATTTGATAAAATGTAAGTTCAAGAGTGAAGCTTAGCGGATATATTGTACTCTCCCTCCATGGAGAAATAAATTCAAATTAAAACAATCAAAATAAATGCTATGCTGAAATTTCCATCAAAATAATTGCTTGAGTTTGATGGATAAAAGGCCGTGCACTTTGGTGAATTCAAACATCTGTTACTATAATAAAGGTTTATAGCTATCAATTTCCCAATGTGGCATTTTTAAAGGGAATATACATCATTTGCTTTTGCTGTAATTTTCAGAAATGGATGGAATTGGGGGGTTGGAAATATAAAGCAAATATAGTTACACTGACTTTTTGGAGGTTTTGGGTTCGAAAATGCTATAAAAACCAAGAAAAACGATCATTTTCCTGTAGTCTGGTTCCCTGACTCCATATAAGAAGAAACAGAGCAGTTTATATACATTGGGGAATTGTAAGGTCAGGGAACCAGTCTAGCTGGCTCGTACCCGTTCATAGGTTTGTAATCGATTGCAAACAAGTGCAATGGTCAATTGGGGCCAGTATTTGAAAAAAAGCCAATTGTTTCCAACGCTGATCGGCCGATCAGCGTTGGAAATTGATACAAAAATACCACTTTTCTTGAATATGACAGTATACCAGGTGCCATAATTTTACAGGATGCTTTAGACTGTCATTTACCAACATCCTATTAAGGTATTTCGCAAAAACTTGGTAGTTTTATTTTTCGATGTTTGCAAATGTTGTATATTCCCTTTAATACCGCAATCTTTTCAATTTACCTTTCTAATATGGCATTATGCTTCATATTATTGGCAAATTCTGTGTATTTGCTGACCCATCCTAGTATGAGACTGATTCTGCCTTGCCCATTGGGCTAACCACTCATCACCCAGCAACCACTGGGGATTATGGATTCATTGACCCCTCAGGCAACCATTAACCCTATTAACCGTGGTCCTGAATTCTTCACAGGACACAAGCCCCCAATGTACAATCGCAATTTATACAGACATGTGTTGTGTACATGTACATGTAGTAAACATTAAATGTACATGTACTGGTACTGTTGTACATGTACATGTACATGAACATGTACGTGTACATTCAGGAGGAGTGAACATGTCATGCACACATGTACAATGCTATAGTACATGTAGGCCTATACATTTATAAAGTATGTACATTAAAGTGCCCATGTTCATGATGTTTTGCACTCTATTTTTGCAGTACTTTTTGAGTATCGATAATCGTGTACATGTGAACTCAAAGATTCTAGCACAAAATCCAGTCTCAAACTTGGATTTAAGATCGTTTTGAATTGTTAAAGTGAAAGAAAACTCCATAAATAATATGGCTAGCTACTGATAGTTCTAACTTTTGAAGAAAAAACCCAGGGATTTTAGTTACGCAACCACAATGAATTGAATACAGCTAAAGAAATAACAAACAGGTTCATTTTGTGAGAAAGAATAGCTGCACGGATTGCTGGGCAAAGACCCCTTTCGTAGAGTAAAGAATAAGGGGCAAGAGTACCTTCAAATCAGGAAGAATATTTCCTTTGAGTAAAGTGTATTTCATTGACCAAACCAAAGAATAATTCCCAGGTTAGAGACTAGGAATACATTGAGCAGATTCAGCACATTGAAACGTGTTTCATTCATAAGAGTATAAAAGGGTAGTTTTATAACTTAGCGCTATTCCGGCACATTAGATGCACGTTAAAGAACCCAGTAACACTTGCCGCTAAGAGAAGGGGTTCGCCCCGGTGTTTCTGGCAGTGGCTGCAGCACCTTGTAAACCCTGGCGCCACACCTCCAGTTTAAATTCCCCAGATAAGATGAAATATTTCGGAGGACCCCCAACCAAGTACCAAGTAGCTCTCTGTGGTTAATACAGAGTTAAAGGGTCCATGAAATGATTTTTCCTTAGGAATGCATTTTGTGCAACTTTGTTCTCCTCTTAAATGTATGAAAACTATTTCACATTCCTTTTCAGTTAATTTTATTGAAAAGTGCACTTAACTTTAAACAGTGCTTTTCTGGACAACTGAGGGTGCTGTTGCTGTGATGTCATTTCAGGAAGACACTGGTCAGCTTGGGGGTTTTCTGTTCAAATTGTGAACCTAAACTTTGCTCACTGAAAACATTTGTGAGAAAACGTTGCTCATTGGCCTACTGGACATGTGCTGAAATGACAGCAAATAACCAAAGAAAAGATAATTTACGACAACAAAATATCAAAAATTTTGGGTACTGAATTAGCTGTAACATTGAGGTTTCTGCCTGACATAACAATACAGTTTGCTGAATGAATATGAAAATGTTCATTAGAATATAAACCCCAAAGGCACCAAAGTGCCCTTTAATGGTAAAATAAAAATTGAAAATAAGGAAAATGTGTGGCGGATTTTGGAGGATGCAGTGTGTCAAGGGCGTGCATAAATTTAGGCCTACATGTACTTTTCATGTACATGTAGTGTATACTTGAATCCTCCGCACTGCTCCAGGGTGTCGCTGGCTCTGCCTCAACATACATGTATTGACAGTGATTGCTGGAGGATTTTGCAGAATTGAGGCAGTGGTCACCCCTCCAAGGACCACATTCAAGAAAAAATGAAAGATTTTGCAGGATTGAGGCTGCAATTTTTACATGGAGGCAGTTGGAGGAATTTGCAGGATTGAGGTTGCATCGTACCAAAAATGCCTAGGGAGTTAGGGTTAATGGTATTCTGCTAAATAATGATCCTGTTTAATTGATTAATTTATTAAGCAATAACACTCACAAAAAACGTGCATAGGGAAGACTCTTTTAATTTGAAAATTTATTTTCAAATGTTGGCGAAATGTGGCAATACAATTTGTGAGGTCGGCCATTTGACCTCAAAAACTATCCAGGCAGGTTGGATTATGGTAAACACACAATAGAAAAAAAATTGACCTGATGATGAAAAATGCAGGGTCCAACATGTTATGTACAGTAGAAATAAATGTAAGTGTGCCTCTTCAATCCCTGTCAAGTACTCAAGTCTTTTCACTTGCAGCTTGTTCAATAATGCTATGCTGCCGTGTTGCCATTTACAATCATACGGTTAACATGATTACGTGACATTCATTGTATGTTTTTATTATTTTCTTCTTTTTTTTACATCTCATTCCGTATAATTTCCTCCTGTCTGAATCTACACGTACACTGTATTTTGAAATTGATTTAAACACATTAATTAAAAACAAGAGTGAGATAATAAAAATACAAAACAAAATACTTCATCAATTGTATCATACATGTATACACTGTGAACAATCATTTTTATCGTTGACTTAAGAAGCTATACACCACACTATAACAATAAAAACCAGATCTTTTATTTTTAGCCATATATGCTAAATTAAAAACAACCCTACTGTATATCCATCTTGTCCCCATACCAGTACATATATCACAGTTTAATAATAACACACGTTATGTCCACTAGGATTGAATTCTAATTTGTCTGAGAAGAAGACAGTAATAATAAGGACAACGACACGAGGCTTAACGCACAAATA